GCGCAAAAGAATAACGTCACAATAATGTGATTGGTCACTTGCAATGTTGAACCTGGAACAACATTTTCATGATGATCTGGGAACAACACCAACACGACGATGTCAGATCATCCAACATGTAAAATGATCAGAATGTAAGAAATAATGCAGTAAGTTTTCCAACAAAACAAATCAAACAAAAAAGAAAAGCAAATGAAAAGAAACAAATGTATTAATATAGAATAATTACATTTATGCTGTTGTGGGTAATGATGCTTTTTATTCAACCTATAACACAAGAACATGCAGTGACCACCCATTTAGCACTGGTGTAACTGAAGTAACACCAGTGCTTAAGTATGACTGTGACTAAATCAAATCACAGCAAAAGAACAGTTGAAGCCTAAGTTAGCCTTTTAATTAACGTACAGTTTAATAATCTGGCAGATGCAGGGCTTTGTTATCAGCTTTGTTATCCAAAGTCAGACTCTAACACAATCAGCAATCAATAAATCCATTACAGTAGTTTGCTTTGTGTCATTGTGCAGCAAACTGGGACTGCTCTACCATTGCTTTAATTGTGCTCTTTTTTAGTATCGTCTGCTTGAATTTGTTCTAAAAATACTACGAGTACTACTCTGTGTGTACTGAACCAACGCTGGCATGTGTTGTGCCCCAAAGTGTTTACTAAACTATTCATTCAGTCAAAGGTCACGAGAGTAAAAGACAATATGAGAACAAATAGAAAACGAAAGCATTTTTTGTGCCTTTAAAGAAGAATCTGCAGTCAGATTTATGATATTCTCTCTCACATAAATCTCACACCCTCCAATCGTGCAGAAATAGCTCCCCTAAATCTGCACATGATGTTTTTCTCCAGATCCAAAAATAACTCACAGCTTTGCAGGAGTCATCTGGGATCGATCCACGCAGCACGCTCACGTTTCTTTTTATCTCTGCCTTGACTTGTGTAGGCTGCGATTTCTGCAGAGCAACCGCAGGCTGTTGCTGCCCATCCACAGCGCTGTGTGCCTGGTTACCTTTGGCCTGTCCTTGCCCGTGGCCATCAGTCTGTTCCCCCAGATGTCTCAGGTACAGTACATACGCTGTTAGACGGGCTGCTGCCTTCAAGGCCAGATGGCACAGGGAGCAGCTGTGCAAAAATTCAAATTACATGTCCACAGCTTGACATGCAGAGCCCCGACCCACATCCTTTTATTCCAGCGTCTAATTAAAAATCTAAATGACTTTCAAAGCTAAAGGAAGGAGAGAAGAGCTAAAATCTTACATTTGGTTTCATGGTTTTTGTTTTGCTTTCTTTCACTCTCTTCTTTTTGTTGGCAGATCGAGGTGTCTTGCCTTGAGCCGGAGATTGCCATGGCAACAGATTGCAAGGTGGTGACCTACAACAAAGGTTTATGATGGATGGTGGTGGAGTGGGAGAGGAGAGCAGAGGGAGCCAGGAGGAAAATGAGGCTGCTGTGTGAATAGCTGTCAGGAGTCTCAGCTGTAGGTTCCTCCTGGAACGATGTGCTGCATTTTTATCACAGAAAGACGGCTTTTTAAACTGGTTTCTGCATTTATCAAGATCCCAGCAGTTATTAAATCATAGTTTTCTGAGAGGTTTTTTATTCTGTCGTCTCCTTTTTAAGAGCTCTTTGTATAGAAATGCTGATTTATTCTCTGTAAAGTCAGATTTAGCATCAGTTCCTTATTTCATGCTGTATAAATAAGTGTTCCTACAGATATGCTGTTCTTTGTTGGTCCGGCCGAGCACAGTTCTTCTCACTGCGTCATCTCGAACTTTGTCTGTCTGTGACTGTGTATGCTGTGCAGAGCCAGTTTGTTTCAGCTGTTTGAAACTGCTGCAAATGAACCAAAACAGCAAAAATATTCCTTCACTCTGTTTTGAATCTTGGGACAAACATTTGTAAAATATATTGAAAGCAAACACAGTTTGATTATATGAGAGGAAATCAGCCCAAGGAGAGATGAACATGAATAAGCTTATGAATCCAAAAATCGTTGGACAAACAGCGACGTGTCCAACGACTGCTGTTAAGCACTGGTCTGTGTTCTGCTATTAAGCTGTAGCCACTTAATAGCAGTGCACAGACCAGTGTGCACAATTTCCACAGCCATTAATAAAGAAGAGCACACAGGTACCTAACTTCTTTAGTGGTGCATGCATAAAGAGCAGCACCATAATAAAAGTGAAAAAAGTTAAAGAAATGTTGCAGGTGAAAGGTTTTCCTGCCTGAGAGGAGGAATTAGATTTATTTCTAAAAAAGGAACCTTAATTTAAGTTTAGTGATGTTTATTCAGCTTGTGCTGTGATCAGATTTTAGTTCGATTTTTAAGAGATTTGCTGCAGCAAAATCCTAATTACAGCCCTAATATGGGAAACAGTTCTCACAGTGCCCACACTGAGCCACATATATTTAAAACATTTAATAATTGTTTACTGACAGTAAGGAAGAGGTTTTACTAGTTCCAGAATATGGCCATTCAGAATAAGTCTTTTATATTGGATAAGACAAAAACCAATATATCAGGATCATTATGAGTCTCTTAATATAAAAATTATTTATTTTTCCTTGTACTGGCTACTATCCATCTGCAGACTCTGTGGAGGTCGAGGCAAACATAAAATAAAACTACAAGTATTTTTCATCAGGTCATTAAAAGATAAATCTACTGTATTGTGTCTGTGACATGTAGTGAGTGAGATGAAAACATCTTTTGAACTGCAGTTTCTTGATATGTATTGTTTGGTTTTAACTATCAGCTGATAATAATCTGATTGTGGAGATGGAAAGGAGTCAGCTGCATGCAAACTAAGTTGTTCAGTGAGACTCACTCGGACGAGGGAAACTTTCACTATGAAACAAACGTGAAGCCCCTGTTCAGTAGCTGCACTCTAGATGTCTTATTATAGATGTTTATACAAGTTTTAAACTGGCAGTTGATACATGCCGGTGATTTTAACCCACACAGTGTGAAAGAACTCCTAAAACATGGCGTTACATTTTCTTGTATGAAGGTCATTTTGCTCCATTACTGACTGTTGTCGAGTTACTGTTTCATTATTAAAGAATCGCTTCTTTTGTACACAATTTGAAATAGAACCATAACATATACTACACAACTGACTGTTTTTAATTCTTTGTGTAAAACTTCCACTGATACTATTGCAAATGTTTGCTAGTCAAACGATGTAAACCTATGTAGACTTATTTTACTATATAGCCTGTAATAAATACTCTTTTACTGTATGTAAAGTGTCTGCACTCTTTACTTCATGTTGCTATAGGATGCTTTTCCACCCTTTACAGTAAGGCTTCTGTATCATGTTGGTTTCCCTGGTGAAAAAGTAATTGGCTCTCTTGTTATAATATGAATTAACTCTGATTAACCATAACTTTTTGTAGGGAGTGGACATTGAGATAGTGGCTCTTATAGGTACCTGGGTGTTCACCTGAATAATAAACTGGAGCCACAACACTGATGCTCTTTACAGGAAGGGTCAGAGCAGACTCTACCTGCTGAGGCGGCTGAGGTCATTTGGAGTCCAGGGAGTGCTTTTAAAGACCTTCTATGACTCTGTGGTGGCATCTGTCATTTTTTACAGTGTTGTATGTTGGAGCAGCAGTTTATCGACAGCTGAGAGGAAGGACTGTGGCCAAAATAACATCTCTGATGGACAGAGTCTCCCAGCCCATGCATGTAGATGTTGCTGCAGAGCTGCTTCAGTGACAGACTGCTGCATCCTCGATGCATGAAGGAGCGTTTCTGCAGGTCCTTCCTCCCTGCAGCTGTCAGACTGCACAATCACAACTGCTCCCAACAAACATGGATGTTTACATCTGCGCTGTAACAACTTCTACTGTTATAACTTGCACATTACTTTTTTCAGTTTATATATACACTAACTTATTGGAAGTTACATATCTACGTTTTAATGCACAGGTACAATCACACAATCTGCACTTTTCTAATTATTCTAAATATTCTCAACTATTTAAACATCAGTATCCTGCTCTGTTTGCACACTACAACCTGGGTTTGCACTTATCTGTAATTTGATTTTAATAACTGTACAGGACTCTGCTTTGGTAACTATTGTCCATGATGTAAATATGTAAAAATTGTGTTTCTGTTCTGTTTGTATATGTGTGTTTTTGTTTTGCTGCTGATACAACCAAATTTCCCCTTGTGGGAAAATTAAAGGATTATTCTATTCTATTCTATTCACTTGACTAATTTGTCCTTATGTCATCCGGAGGAAGGGTGGATTTAAAAAAAATATTTATTTATTTGAAGTTGCATGTTTTGCTGTGTTCCCATGTTGAGTGTTTTATCTTTGCAGTATTTCATGCTTTTATTATATTTACTGTGGACTTGTCCCGGGGACACTTCTCCACTCCCCCTCCTGATCACTAATTAGACACACCCTGGAAGGGCACACGGACTGATCTTTGGAGAGAGACGTCGGGTGGAAAATGCGGTACAACACGGACTTAAGGGCTATGTAGGGAGGGACCGAGCAACTCCACGGTTTTTATGTGAAATAAATGTATATTTTAGAACCCTATATTTTATATTTCTTTGGCTCCTCCACTGCTCGCTTTTTTTCGCTTCTAAAAAGTCGACACTTTAATTTTTTTTGCTTTTAGTGGCATCCAAAGTCCCCTCCATAAATCAAGAAGACAAAAAGGTTTTTCTGCGCATCTAAGCTAACTTCATGGCCAGATATCATCAGCCCCAAACACCGTTAAAACGTCCGTCTGTGTCTGCGTATTGTATCTGCTTAATTTCGACTGTTTTCAGACTATTTAATAAACAAACAAACAAAAACTCCCGTTCATTTCAAAGCGCATGATCTGAGCATGCGCGGAATGTCTTACAACAGCCACCCAATCGCAGACCCTTCTAAACATTTATGCAACTTTCTGTTCACCACCAGAGGTCGCTGCCGCCTGTCTCACAAATAAAACGTCAACGTCAGAGTTGAAAGGTCGTCTGAAACATGGCTGCTCCCGTGGATGACATGTTTTCCTTCTGCGTGGACCCCGGCAAAGTGTCCAGCTGTGTGGAAGTCAGATTTATCGACAATGTCAAGGTGAGACTTGTCCGTGATTTTCATATTAAATGGATTTAGAAGAAATCTGCGGCTGAACACAGATTTAAAGCGGCGGTGCTGTAGTCGCGTGTCGGCTGTCAGTGCGGGTCACAGCCAGGCACGACTGGCTGATGTCTGACACACAGTGGAGATTGAATGATTGTCTAAATCCTCCATGAAGGCTTTGATTTCTGTGTTGCCTTCAGGAAAATTTAGGACAGCAGCTTCCAGACCAAAGCTTAGCTCGCTAATATCACAGTATAAGAACTGCTAGCTGAAAATAACCCCTACCATTCATGTCCAATAATAGTAATAATAATAATAATAACTGTGATAGAGTGCTAACAAGTTCACGTCTTTCTGTGTGTGTGCGTGTGCGTGTGTTTTTTCCCTTCTTCTTCTTCTTCTTCTTTTAAAGGAAATTCTTAAATAGATAAATGTAATCAGTTCTCTTCACACGTGACGTTGCAGGCATCATGACGTTTTCCACAGCTTTCAGGTCACATCATCTGTGAATGAGAATGGAGCCCTGGTGGACCTGCCTGCTCTGGTGTTCTCTGGAGGATGACAGCCTGTGAGCACAGGTCCTGCTAAACCATGTTGGGCTCTCACGGAGTCTTTTTATGGCACTTTAGTCCGTAACATGCACAGAATAGCCCTTGGAGGTCATTTTGTAGGCCTCTGCCATCGCTCCTCCTGTCCCTCCTTGCACAAAGAAGCAGTTTCTGGTCCGCTTGTCATTTGATGACCTTCTACGCCCGGTCCAGCTCACCTACTGTAACAGCCAGTCTCCTGCTATCTGTCTCGAGACAGACTGGGAGACACAGCAGAAAGT